TGCTTGCTCGTCAGGCCGCGCATATTTTCCCTAACCGCGGTCGTGGCCTCGTAAACACAGATTGAGTTGCAACAAGTGCTTTCGTCAATTATCCATCGGATTTTTTCCCCGCACAACAGTCAGAACCTGCCCAATGGGATTCGCCATAGGACGAGCTCCACCCTTGCGTCAATCATGTGGAGTTGCCGTGACAATGGGTGCGAACATTCGGCGCAATGATTTCGAAGGTATTAGGTGAAATTGCTATAGACCCAGTCACCAGAGGTGGCGATCACAATCAAACTTGGTTCGAAGTAATAGCGGTGCGGCCTCGCGAAGGAGACGTGGGGGTTCATTTGCGGCAAAATTGCGAGGCCTATATTCATCATCAAACAGATCCAGTTAGGATATTGACTTACAGAAAAGGACTTGGAGAACTAAACTGGGAAAAACCGGAGGTATGTTTCGCATGCGCACAGCCCCGAGTAAATAGGGCCGACGTCGTGCGAGGGGTGGCCAAAATAAAAAGAGAAACCTGGGTTGCATCAACAGGTCGAGTCCGCTGGCGTGACTACTAGCGAAAGGTGTGGAACGATGCGAACTTCCTACTCGGCAAAACGAGGCCGGATCAAGGGAATGATAGAATAAGATGCTAAGTAGTGAGATGACACTTGATGACGTAGCTAGCTGAAAAGCATCAAGCAAAGAACAAAGGAAATTAGGCTAGGAAGTTGGAGGTTGTTTCCTCTGCGTATAACCTGCGAGAGGCACAGGCAAAAAAAGAGGATATTTTTGTAGCAGACAAGGAAGGCACTCGTCGTGGGACGGTTTCTTCTTATGCTGCAAGAAAGATAGGATGATGGAATTAATAGAAAGGGTGGTACTGAGAAAGGGGAGGAGAGCGGCAGGAGAAAGGGGAATTGAATTTGAAGGTCGAAACAAAAAGGCAATGGGGGCTAAAGTGATGTTCGATTTGTAATGGTAAGATAGTGGGAAGGGAATTTTCATAAATATTGGAGTAAAAAAACAAGCGAATAGATTTATAGATTAACGAAATAATTTATATTAATAGATGTAAAATTCATAGTATAAGAATTTTAGAAATTAATATTTAATATCTATATCATATACTTCGCAATGTTCCCCACTGACTCCT